ACCGCAGGCCAGGAGCGGTTCCAGTCGCTGGGCGTCGCCTTCTATAGGGGCGCCGACTGTTGCGTATTGGTCTTTGACGTGACGGCGCCCAACACTTTCAAGTCGTTGGACTCCTGGAGAGACGAGTTCCTGATTCAGGCCTCGCCTCGAGATCCCGAGAACTTCCCGTTCGTTGTCATCGGAAATAAAGTGGATTTAGAGAACCGAGCGGTCAGTACAGCGAGTGATTGAGCCGTTGATTGATTTGTGTGTGTATTAAACGTGTGATGTGTTTAGGTGTCGACCAAACGGGCGCAGGGCTGGTGTCAGAGTAAGAACAACATCCCGTACTTCGAGACGAGTGCTAAAGAGGCCATAAACGTGGAGCAGGCCTTCCAGACGGTCGCCAAAAACGGTTTGGCACAGGAGACGGAAGTAGAGTTATATAACACCGACTTTCCCGACAAAATTAATCTAAACAATGAGAATAATAGTAATNACGAGTGCTAAAGAGGCCATAAACGTGGAGCAGGCCTTCCAGACGGTCGCCAAAAACGGTTTGGCACAGGAGACGGAAGTAGAGTTATATAACACCGACTTTCCCGACAAAATTAATCTAAACAATGAGAATAATAGTAATAGAAGTGACAGCTGTGCTTGCTAAGGCATAGGGCCCACACTATGGACCCCTCCTTCCCATCCACACACCCTTCCCCTACTATTCTCTATCCCTCTTATACCGTATATATATATCTCTCTCACAACACCACACGAGACACACGTTTAGCTCAAAAGCGATTTTAAGACGTCTTTTCATATGCAGTAAAACAAAAAACAATTGATCAGAATTTGAGATAAAAATTTTATTATCAAATGTATTGTAAAGCGATTTGCGTTTTGAGTAAAATCTAAATGAATATTATATATTGATTACAATAATGTAATGTTAATTATAATNATATGCAGTAAAACAAAAAACAATTGATCAGAATTTGAGATAAAAATTTTATTATCAAATGTATTGTAAAGCGATTTGCGTTTTGAGTAAAATCTAAATGAATATTATATATTGATTACAATAATGTAATGTTAATTATAATCACAATTCTGTTTAGTATATTATTAATATCATTTTATGTACAGTTTAATCAAATGTTGATTATAGACTCCTTTAGTGTTTTATTATTTCGCTGTCTCTCCACTTCCTGTCCTTTAATGAGTAAAAATATATAAATATTGTTCTTATTATACGTCTAATTAAATCGATTATTATTATTATATATATTTATTACTCTTTTATTTGATTGAATAAAATGTGTTTTTTATTACAATAGTATTCGTGTTTAAATTATTTAAAAACATACAGTACCAGTACATAGTACGGTACAATATATTTATTATTATTATATATATTTATTACTCTTTTATTTGATTGAATAAAATGTGTTTTTTATTACAATAGTATTCGTGTTTAAATTATTTAAAAACATACAGTACCAGTACATAGTACGGTACAATATATTATAACTAATGTAAATTACAGGTAAAATTAATTACCAGTATACTTTTAAACACTGGCTATTCTATTAACCCACTGTATTGGACAGTAAGTATTATTTTAGCATTTGTAATTACGGCAAGTGTTATTCAATGACAATTAAATAAAATTCAGTTCAATGATTTTATTTATTTAAAATTAAATTTCAAATACAAATAATTTATAAACCTATTGTGACTTAAAAAATAAACATTGGTTTCAATTGATGTCATAATTCCTATCATAAGAATGATATCTTGATCTCAGAGATGAGTTTCTCATCGAAATTATTTCGCTTTAATTTATCGATAATTGTCTCCAAAACTGCAAAACAAGTGTAACGAATGATTGAAAGAGTTTGTGAGCAACGAAAGCAAAACTGAATACCCTTTTGATCCGATTGTGACAAAAAGAGGACAATTGTGTCGAATCGCGGAGTTTTAGATATTTGACTCAAAACAGCGTAAATTAGTTGCGAGTCATTTGAGTGACAAATAGTGTTCAAGAGGTCTGACATCATCTGCGGCTCTAATGTGGACGTCAATAGAGTGCGAATGTCTTCGGGACCAATCATTTGCAAGTAATCCACTCTTAATTGCAGACTATTTTTGCCAATCAATTGACGCCAATCGCACTCAAACTGGTAATAATTTTTGGGAACTTTTTGCGGCAATTTAACCACAAATTCAGTGCTAATATTGAGTACATTCTTCTCAGTGATGGAAACTCTGGTCAACGGTTTGTTAGATTGAAACCCAATCGGCTTATCAATGGGTTTGATGTCCACAACGGCTTTCGAGACAATCAACCGCTGAATGGACTCTAATTCGCGTTTGGCTTCATTATTGTTGGGATCCAATGTCACGACTCGCTTGAAGTCTTCGGCGGCCAATGAATACCTAAACAAATGTCTTCGCGATAGACCTCTTCTATACAACGCTTTAATACAGTTGTGGTCTATATTTAAGGCTAAATCACAGTCTTTGTGGGCTTCCAGTGGACTGAGAGTCGAGAGAAGACATGGATTAGATAACTATCACCACAAATGGTAAGACACTTACAGGCCTTTCTTGAGGTAAGCCATGGATCGGTTGCAATAAAACACTGGATTCGCGGCAAACAATTGAATGGCATTTGTGTAGCATTTGATGGACTCATCGATGTCTCCACTCTTGAAGTGTTTGTTTCCCTATAAATGCAAACCAATCATCAAATCCATGATAATTATCAACGAAATGGCAGATCAGATGGCAATACAATCTCTTTCTGTGTCTCCGCCTCTTCGCGTCTCTTCCTATCATTGAAATGAGTGTCTCTTTCAGTCATGTCTTGAAATACACTTTCACTTCAAATAAACTTTTAATTCACATATAAATCACAATTAATTTAAATCTAAACCACAATTCATATGAAGTTTTCAAAAGTTTTTCTGTGTTTTCAAAACATATGACAAGAATTTGTACATAAATTCTGTCACTTATTTGTACTCCAAATGAACGCCCGTTCCGTACAAATGCATACAAATTGGTGTGAAAGGAGAGGATATCAAAGAATAGTTGAAGGCTTTGAAGGTCTTATATCTTCGGGTTTGGGACCAATTGTTACCAAATTATTAAATAAATTACAATTTAGTGCAAAACAAAAGCATTTTATTAATTAATACTGAAATTTCTTATACCGTATAACTCTTACATAATATAAGTCATTAGTTTTAATTTCAAGAATAATACACAGAATTTACAGCAAATAGCTATTCATTGATTAAAAAATTAAGTAAAAATCATTTAAGTAATTCCTGAGATTAAATATTGTTTTGATTTAAATATTATAGTCATTAGCATAATAGTATTCATTCAAAAATAATATTTAAACATTTGAGTAGACATTTTCGGCCAAATCTCTCTTCATTTCTAGTCTTTTGGATAATAATTCAATGATTTCTTTGAAAACTAATGGATCAGTATTTTTGGCCAACTTTTGGTTTGAAACAGAATTAAAAATTAATTAGTTTGGTGATAGACTTGAATTACATATGAATGGAAACATATATTTCATACCAAATCCAATATAAACCAATGGCCTAATTGTAATCCACAGATAAGACGCTTAAATTGCTTATTAAACCCAATGATCACTTCCTGGCGAGACCTGAAGACATGATATCGCATATGCGGACAATAATAGAGACAGACTGAATACTATGAGAAAACTTGTGATAATCGCCAGAAAGTGGAACCAAAACCATATGAAGAGATATATCTTCTGATTGAATATATTGATCGATAGGACACATAAGGCATCGATGATCTCAGGACTTCCAGAGGCGCCAAATCGTTTCATTTCGCATTTGCTTAGAATTGGAAATATCTGTAAATAATTGATTAATCGGTTAAATGGCATTAAAAACATCATAAACTATTCAACTATTACTTCAGTCATAGCGTTGACTCTCATATTAGGATCTCCGGCCAGAAGTCTCAACCAATCGGTTCCATAAGTCATGAAAGAGTGGTTCAGAAAGTAATTCGTCACAAAGATCTGAATGAAGACATTGAAGAGCACCAACAACTCGCATAAGAAGTACTTCATGGCGTACCAGTTGTTCGCACCGCTATTTTTCTGTAGATATTCCACGATATCTATAATCTTCTTCTTCCGCTTCGCGTAATCGGTGGAGAAGTAGTCGAGATTCGCGACGAGTGAAGACATTTTGCTGCCTTCGAAGCACTTCCAGAGCCATCGCGGATAATAGAAGCAAACGGTCTGCCATAACAGCATAAACCAAATCCACAGATAATATCTCTTATAATAGCGGACACGTGTGGACCCGAGTCCGGGATAGATGTCTTCGGAAGTATTGCTTCTCTCGAAGATATCGGTGTATTTGGTTCCCGAATATAAGCCAAAGATATAACAGTAAGAATTCAAGACATTGGTGTCGATGACACCGGGACTGGTCTCGCAATGAATGGGTTCACCGAATACCTGAATATTCGTATGAATAATACAAAAGGCCAATAGTATGGCCACAGTTAGAGTGGTATTCAGTCTGAACACCAGTCCATCGACACGGAGGTCACGGTTTCGTAACCGTTTCCACGAGAAGTTCAATGCATTTATCATAATTTAGTCGACAAATCGCTCTCTATGCAGTACTACACAAGAATATTCTGTGAGAAACACCTATGAATTGTTACACTATAGTAAGTATGGATACCGGTAATACTGGTCCAGTATTGTAGTCAATGAAGTTATTTAACTGTTGATTATAACCTCAAAAGTAAAAACGGGTTAAATTATACTTTGCTGTCAATGAATGATAATTTTATGACTCGTTTTGACTTTCAGTGAAAGTTTTTACAGTTTCACACAATTTCTTCCCATTTCTAATGATGCAACCAATCATTGTATATAAATTTTATATTATTAAATATAATTACACATAATTTCACCAAAAAAAAATCAACTTAAGTTTTATTTAAATCACAATTAAATGTTTAAAAACAATACAATTTGTTAATCTCAATTAACACATATCATCATAATCAATTATAAACTACTAATTATACAGTTATTTCTATTAAACTATTCCTAATCAGTGTTTAAATAATTATACAAAATTAAAATACAATCTGAAAATAATTTGAATGCAACTTAAACTTCAAAAATCAAAATCAAACTTAAATCAAAATATTGTTTTACCGGTAAATCAAAAAATAATAATTTAAATGTTAAAGTTATCAAAATCTATAAATAATACTAATCAACAGTGTGTTAATTAAATTGTTAAATAATACTAATAATCAGTGTTTTAATATTAAATGTTAAGTAATGTGTTTATAAGGCCATATAGACCAGGGGACAGGTATCACAATAGACCGTCAGTTTGGACTGCAAGACACTTATCTGCGGGAACTGGTCTTTGCAACCACTCATCGCATGCTTTTGGATCACTTCTTTCATTCTTCGGGTGATCTCATCGATGGAAAGGCGAGTCTCGACACGCGATCCGCACGACATACAGCCCAAGAGGTGTCCGTTTGATTGGAGATAATTAGTGCGACAAAAGGGACAAATGATGGCACCGATGGACAGGCCGTAGATGAAGCCCCGACTCTTCTGTTGGTCGGCTTTGGTCTGCAATCCCTCCCAAGACTTGTTCCGTTCGATCAGCGCTTCGGTCGTCAACTCTTCCACTCTTCGGTCCATTTGTTGCGATATCTGCATCGCTGGTGTGGATGTATTGCCATTGATGTCAAACCCATTTAACATATCAGCCAACGCTTCGCATTGTAAGGACGGGTCGTTCACTGAATTGTTTTATATTTTCGTATTTTACTTATATTTTATTCATAAGTCTTATAAAATGAATGTTAACTTACTTTTGGTGCTGAGATCGGAACGGCTGGCGATATCTTTGAATATGTGCTAAAGTGCAGTAGTCTTTCAACTCAAATGAACTGCAATTAGAAAACGTTTTTCGAAATTCAATGTTAAAACTAAATGTTTGAAACGATTTGTCAGTTGTATTGACTCATACACTGGGAATACGACAGAAATGATATAAAATAGTAAAATTCGATTATTTATTAATAAACCATAAAATAAATTACTAAAGCTTAACTTAAAATTCAAACTTACCTACTGTATATCTAGTCCACAAATTGGATTTGTAATCACTCTTGGAAATGTACCGTAATATTGGAAACTAAACAAACAATTTTGTAAGACAACCTTTAATTTACAATACTTTGGCACATTATTAAAATGTAAACTTTAATATTAGAGATATTTTTAAAAAAATAAATTATACTAAACTTTAATAAAAGTTTTATAAATAAAATAATTTCTTACTTTGATTTGCTGTGTTTGTAAATGAATAGTTAATTGTAATCTTATAACGTATAAACAACTTTTGAAATCGTTGCTATATTTCTGTATTGAATATCAAAATAATGAAACAAATGAATTCACAATTAAGTGTATTATACGGAAGAATGAATTAAATTTATATAATTTTAAAACAAAAAGCTATAGTTTTATTGAATATTTGAATACTTTGTATCATTTTTGTATTCTGTAATCGACTTCACATCCTCTCGACTGGACTTTCAGACACGACTCGCAACTGTTGGCTTTCCTCTTATAATTTTCAACCCACCCTTTAATGCCATTCCTGCGCCTCTATCGCCACCTCCTGTGCCCCCAATCCCAGGTCAGTCGGACTCTCACAGACTCCTAACACCTGAGGATAGTGACCGCTGAGACTAACCAACCAGTGCTGTGTCCCAGAACCAGACGACACTAACCACTCGGCCTGTCTGTACTCTACAGCACTGACCCCATCCCTTCCCCTCGGGGGAAGTTCTTCGAACAGCACCACCGCTCAACCTCTTCGTGCTTCCAATTCCTTGAATACCATTCCCTTCTCAACGACTTCGATGTGTCCGAACCCCAGTTCTATCGCTCTTTACATCCCATCCCTTCACCACCACTTTCTCCATATATTTCCCATCAATTGTTGTCTTCGAGTGGAAGTGTTGTCTAAAGAAGTATATGTCATTTGTTTTCACTTTTACTCAAACTTCTCTTATTTATTAATTAACGTTTCAATTGTTTCACAATTTTTTTAAAACTCTTTATTTAAACATTTAATTGAAACAAATTCTAATTCTTTGTTATTATTTATTAATTATTAAATCCAATTTGTAGCTCAAATGGGGATATTTCTAGTATAAATACAAAAAATAATAATTAGGTACAGTATTATACAATATAAATTATAGTTATTTATTCATTATTTTTAATGAATTGTTTGTTCATTATCAAATAACATTAAAAAGCACTCAAATTCAATGTTAAGAAATATCGAACTTTCTGTTTATATTGATTTATAATTTAATAATTTATAATAAGAATAATTCTTAGTTTTAATACTTTATATGATTAGGGTGTATACCGTTAGGTATATTTTGACACAAAATTGAAATTGTATTAAAAATCTAACTTATTGTATTTTATGTCACAAATTATTGAGTTTGTTATATACTGTATAATCTGTCATTAAAAGACTTTTGCTCTTATAACGAGAAACCTATAATTTATACCTTTCCACTCTGTTATTCGTATTCAACAAAACCAATAATAATCATAGTATTTCACAACAATTATAACACAATTTTCATATAAAATACAGTAATTATGTATGGAATATTCTGTGTTAAAGTAAAGTATATAAATATATTCTATAAGAAATGATTCTTAATAATCATTATTTTATTTATTATTAATAAGTTATTTGATATAAAAATTAAATTCCAATTGAAATATACTGTAACAATAATTTTTTATTAATACCGTAGTGTTTAAAGACTTTCTCTATTTAACATTAATCTAGTTTTAAGTATGAATTTGGTGTCAGAAAAAGTTATAATAATTTTTATATTTTTATGCAAATTAATGACTGCAGTGTTTATTGAAAATAATTTTTATATATATTTGAATGAGATTTGTCTCAATACATACCAAAAGAATATTCTGTTCAATAAAGTTGTCGATAAATCACTTATTAGTAAATATTTTAATAAAACTAATTGTTTGTATGTTATTCGAGATTTAACTAAATTTAATGAAAATTATTACTCAGACATTAAATTGCATTATAAAATTAATTTGATTATTGAGATCAATGATGACCAAGAATTTGATCTAATAAGTGATGAAGTATTTAACAGTGAATTATCAATATATGTGAACTTTATTATTGTATTGAATAAACATTTACACAAAGAATTAGAAACTAAATTGTTTCACAAATTCAATGATATTCGATGTCTAGTAATTAGATTTGAGACAGATTTGAATGAAGTGGTTGTCTCTTACATCAGACCCGTTATCAATGGTTGCCATTCATATAATGGGATATTATATTCATCGGATCCCACTGTCAAAGACAAGATAACATCAAACACTTGTAATCTTAACGGAACTCAACTCAGAGTTGTTGTAAATATTGTAAGTGTTTATAAATTTTAAATGAATACCATTTGAATTGCTTAGAAGTTGGTATATCTTTGATTAGGATCTGCCGTATTGTGACATAGAGTTCAAAGATGGCAAATATGTGATGAAAAAGTCTATAGAGACGGAAATGATAAATCTTATGTCTCAGAGATTCAATTTCGTGTATGAAGTCGTTTACGCGAACCAGAGTTGGGGTACTCTTCAGAACGGCGTTTGGACGGGAAGTGTCGGACATCTCTATAATAAAGTTTGCATTTCTTATGTCTTAGTCTTTTGTATGAAGTCGTTTACGCGAACCAGAGTTGGGGTACTCTTCAGAACGGCGTTTGGACGGGAAGTGTCGGACATCTCTATAATAAAGTTTGCATTTCTTATCTTTCATTTAAAATAATATTTAAAAATTATTTTTTAAAGACCGCCGATATTGGCATTTGTGTGATTACATTAAATTCTCAACGATTTACTGCTATTGATTTTACAAAGCCTTATATAACAGTTCCCTTAACTTTCGTAACAACTAAACCGGGTCTCAAACCTCGCACTTGGATTACAATCACTCCTTTCGCTCTTAATGTGTGGATATCTATGGCTTTGTCTTTCATTGTGACCACTATTTTGGTCCAAAGATTGTATAATAAAATACATATAAATGAGAACCGAATCGATTCCATATCCATATCACTCATTGGAGCACTTCTTCAGCAATGTATTCAATATTAATCACATATTTTTTAATTGAATTGATTTTATATTTCTTATCATTTTATAGCCTTAATAATTGTAAATTCAGAGCACTTCACGATTCGTTTTTATGTCTGTTTGTGGTTATTGTCATCACTTGTGTTAATGAAATCCTATTCCGGAATCTTCTACTCTCTTCTAACTGTTCCTGAATATAAGGATGCGATCGAAACGTTAGAAGACTTGCACAGAGTTGCAGAGGACAGGCATTATTGGATAGTAACGGTTCCCAACTCTTTCTATTACGACCTGTTTGTCGAGAGTCCCTGTTGTGGTGCCTTTCACTCCATCGGAAATAACATCATTAAGTCTGCAAAAGAGTATCAAATGCCGGGAAGTATTCAAACGGGCATTGAATTGATAAATGAAAACAATGGTGTGGACAGGGATTTGATACTAATCCACACATCAGTTCCCCTCACTTATGGTGTCCGCAAGTATGCGAACATCAAAATGCATATCTCTTCAGAGACTCTTATGATGGATCAGATGGCTATGGCTTTACAGAAAGGGTCACCACTCAGAGTGTCTATGAATAAGATGTATAACTCTATCCTTTAAGTTAAAGTTTTGAAACTAATTTATTGTTTGTTATTCTTGTGGTCAGAATTCAAGACTTTGTTGAGAATGGTTTGTATAATATATGGATGACTCGTCTGATGGACACAATTCCCACTAAAGTCCGCGATTCAGATCCATCTGCAGTGGATTTAATCAAAAACCTCGAACTCAATGACATTCAAAGCATTTTCTTTATTTCCATTTTCGGTCTTTTAGTCTCTATTTTAGCCCTAATTTGTGAACTAATTATTCACTTCAAAAGGCTTTGATTTAAATTTATTTATTTATCAATTAATATATAAATTCAATCAAATAAAGCGATATATGTTTTAATAAAATACTTTATTTAAAATTCATGTTTTATCACAAATCTTATAACAATTTTGAGAAATAATCAAAACTAAAGAAGAAATTAAAGCAAATTTTTACAATTAAAACTCATTTCAATGACACTAGAAGTGAAGTACGAGTAAAAGTCAAACACTAATAAATGTCTTCGGGAATGATATCTACTTCTGGAGACACTTCCACTCGAAGACCACAATTCATGGGAAATATGTGGAGAAGGGATAATCAAAGCAAAAATTGATGTCCGACTCATTTGTTTTGTATTTCATATGAAATATAATTTTAATTCAAATAAAATTTAGTAAATCTTTAAATGAATGATTAGTTTCTATTTAAATGTAAAAATTTATTGCATTTTTATAATCAAAACAATATTTTGGCAAATTTTGGTTCACATAATTCGGACTTAAAATAACATTTAAAACAATTATTAATTAAAACATAATTTGAAACCTATTTATCGGCTAAAATTTCACTAATTGGTCCCAAATGTCAGGGCAATGAGTTGGTGGCGAAGGCCAGGGGCCAAGTGATCGGTCCCTTCACTATCATATCCTTGAGATCATTACGAATACTAACGAAATGTCGTTTGAATTCAATTCCGTCGCCCTTTCAATGAAAAACAATTTATTAAAAATCAAAACCCTTTTTACTTCAAGCATTTCACCGACTTTTGTGAGTCTGAAGTCAACTAATATTTGGCACGAATTCATGTCAATAACCGATACGTTGAACACTAAAGGCATTCTCCGCTTGTCTTTCGTCGTAACCGTTAACTAAATCAATAGAAATACCAAACAATCAGTTAATCATAAACTCAGTTAACACTTCCCACTCGTAGACAATACCTGTCCTGTCGTTGGAGTCTTATAATTATAATTCCTTTTCTCGAAAACCCGTTTCAGTCGCCTTTCAGTGGTCTTTGAGTCGGTGTTTGTGAAGAATCGCGTCATTCGTCGGACGAGTCGTTGGTATATATTCTGTGAACTGCCGAACGGTGTCTGCATTTGAGTGCTTAAGAACATGTCCTCCACAGCAGCGGCCGGTTGTGTGAGTCGGTGTTTGTGAAGAATCGCGTCATTCGTCGGACGAGTCGTTGGTATATATTCTGTGAACTGCCGAACGGTGTCTGCATTTCTCACGAATTCTTGTACAGGAGGTGTCGTCGCCGGCCAACACTCTTTGTCTACACAAAGTGCAGTAGGCTACATTACCGACAACTATAGACTTCCAAGCGGTTGAGTACCTACCCAACGCTTCGGCATGATAACCTGCCGACATGACTGTCCGCACTGGAAGTGCACTGCCTTTTGCTCTTAAACTGCGGTGAACTAAACGGTTGACTCAAACTATTGATGAACTTCTTCTTAAACCATTGATGAGCTTTGATTTGGCTTAAAGTGTATCGTTTGGTGACGTTTGGACTCATTATCTTTCGAAACAATGCTTTTGAATACAAAGAAATCAATTCAATTAAAAACCAATTGTTTTAAACAATTTACGGTAAATACAAGTTTATCACATGGAAATGGATGGGAACTACAGTACACTCACATAAAACCAAATTATCAATTTTATTCCAGGGGAAAGTGGTTATCAGTGACTCCTTCCAGTCCCGGTAGGCCTTACATTCAGGCGCTGGCTTATCCCACGGGAGTTCACCCGTCAATAGAGTGACCAGAATTACACCACAACTCCAACTAATGATAAAAATGAAATATAAATTACAATCAATTTCTACACATTATTAGAAAGCAATGGACAGACATGTCTGCGGGTTCGGCCCGGTATTCCTTATGAATGAATATCTCGGGCGCCATATAGGGAACGGTTCCGCACTTNAACTAATGATAAAAATGAAATATAAATTACAATCAATTTCTACACATTATTAGAAAGCAATGGACAGACATGTCTGCGGGTTCGGCCCGGTATTCCTTATGAATGAATATCTCGGGCGCCATATAGGGAACGGTTCCGCACTTTTGAGTCAAGAGTCGCTCTTTCCCTGAGTGTCTGAATAGTGTCGACATTCCGAAGTCAGAGATCTTTATATTGTCTGCAAAAACATGTCAAACATTCAATTCATGACAAACTCTGAAAACTAATTATATATTGAATGCAAACCGTTGTCATCGAGTAATAGGTTTTCGGGCTTAAGATCTCTATGGACTATACCTATGAGGAGATAATCACAGATTCATTACTTAACTCCAAAATGGTTTCAACAGTGAATTCATACCCTTTGAGTGCAAATACTCGACACCAGAGATGAGTTGAACGAAGAATCTGTGCGCAGAACTCATATCCATTCCTACGTCCGGCTCTGCATATGAGACACATTCAGACATTTGAGTCAACAATCAATTGACACCAAAAACAGATAACAAACCGATTCTGTCGAAGAGCTCGCCTCCAGAGGCGTACTCCAGGAATATGTACTCAATGTTCTCATCGGTTCTCTGGCCGTAAAACTTGATGTATGAATATCTCGGGCGCCATATAGGGAACGGTTCCGCACTTCTGAGTCAAGAGACGCTCTTTCCCTGAATGTCTGAATAGTGTCGACATTCCGAAGTCAGAGATCTTTATATTGTCTGCAAAAACATGTCAAACATTCAATTCTTTACAAACTCTGAAAACTAATTACAAATTGAATGCAAACCGTTGTCATCGAGTAATAGGTTTTCGGGCTTAAGATCTCTATGGACTATACCTATGAGGAGATAATCACAGATTCATTACTTAACTCCAAAATGGTTTCAACAATGAATTCATACCCTTTGAGTGCAAATACTCGACACCAGAGATCAGTTGAACGAAGAATCTGTGCGCAGAACTCATATCCATTCCTACGTCCGGCTCTGCATATGAAACACATTCAGACATTTATCAGTTGTTAGTTAACTGTGGTTTTTGTCTATTGTTTGGCTAAGACAGCTTCTCGAGCGGAGGTCTCCGCATGAGGTCCTTATACATGAGTTACAAGAGTAGCCAAGAGACCGGCATTTTGAACTACATATTGTCGTGTTTTAGCATTCGGTGGACACATATCTACAAGAAGCAGAGGACAAACCTCATCACTATTACATATACCGTCACAATATCATCAAACACTCACCTCTTTCTTAATCTGATTCTTGGCGTTGGGATACTTGCGGACATCAATCACTTTAGTGGCCACACATTCGTTGGTCTCTATATTCACCAAAAGCCGGACTCTGGAGGGGAGAGACAGACATCGCGGACAACAAGACATTACAACACAAATTGACAAAACATGGGATCAATTGGTGACAAACACTCACTCGCCATAAGCTCCCTCTCCCAACACGTTAGACAAGTGCCAGCCCTTGACGAACTCGACAGCCATTCAGATGGTGGTAAGCAATGGATTGTCTTTCGATGGCAATGCGATAATATCCGTGACTAAGCATACGATTAACACAATTGGAGATAAATTACATTTGTTTTTGTTTTGTTTACTGTTATAAAAACGGCGTTAATTACGGTAGTTTTACCCACTTGTGCACTGGGCTCGCGACTGGGTTACTCGCTGCCCGCGTGTAGCACCGCTGGTTATCCGCTTCGAGAAATGCGTGAACGCATCGAAATAAGCCATTCATCACATGTTATAATCAATGAGCGGTTTATTTAAATTTTAAATACAATACAATTTATTTGTTTGCGACAAAAACAACATTTGTCAATTGAGTTATTCAGTTCATTCATTTATCTGAATATTACATACTGTTTAAAAAACACATTTTCAATCAATTCACTAATTGAATCAATTATTACATTAAAATACAAACGTGTATTAAATAAATAAATTAATATATTCAACTTAAAGTCAAGTTAAGAGAGAGATTAATCACTATTAATAACTCAAAAGTTTGTGGGTTAGCCTCAGATTTTTGAATTAATATTTGTGTTAATACTTACATTTAGTTACCGTTGTGTTTACTTCAGTACATATAAAACAAGATCTAATTGTGTATTCGATTGAGTCGACTCTTAGTCTGTAATTATTTAATCAGAATTAAAGCCTATTTAACGATAAAATGTGACATAATTTTCGTTCGTATTTATCACAGTTTTCTATTTAAAAAATTAAAATCAATTTAATAACTAAAAACAAATATATAAACTAAAACATGGAAATTAAATACTCATAATTAAAATCATAATCATAATGCTAATCACAATCTATAATTGATTTATAATAAACTCATAAAAACTCATTAATAATTTCATTCATTTTCATAAATATATTATACTATTGTTTTGCGAAATAAAATTTGTGCTCAAAATAACATAAATAATAATGAAATACAAAATGAATGATTAGTTTAATCCATCGGATGATAGGTATTGCTGTTTAGTCAGAGCTGACGTGACTGGTGTCGGACAGGTCGGCCGACTCGTCCGACTTCTGGGAACTGGAGTTAATCGACTGATAGTCGTCGTCGTGTTTGGGCAACAATAGGACACTGTCTTCGCCTAATATGGAGCACAACTCCTGCAAACGGTTCTGCATTTTAGGCACTCCTCCCAGCGATGACTCCAACTTCTCCTTCTCCTCGCGCAGCGTCAATCGGGTGGACGTGTCGAGTGGCTCCAGACGCCACCCGCCCTCCCCATCGAACTGCAACAGATGGGTGTGAAATTTCCACAACGAGGGCCGGTGTGTGATAGTGATCAACGATATGCCCATATCTTTGGCCGTTTGGTACACTTGGCTCTCGACGTCGATGGACACGGCGCTCGTGCACTCGTCCAACAGCGCGAACTCAGGTCTACGCCAAAAGTCAAACAAACCGCTCATTAATACCAAAAAACCCAAACCAATAGTCAACAAAAATCTGGTCACACCTATGATAGAAAAGGCGGGCCATTCCCATGCGCTGCTTCTCGCCGCCGCTGAGGATGTCCTTCCAGTCGCCCTTACCGTCCCACCCGCCCTCGCGTATGACAATGTGTTTGAGGTGCACCTGAGTCAGTATCTCCACGAGGTCCTCGTCCGTCACGCCCTTGCTTTGCATAGTCTCCCAGTCGTCGGGGTATATGACTTGGTCCCGGAGGGTGCCCAACGACATGTACGGCCGCTGCGGTATGTAAAACATTTGCTTCGACTCCGGCCGCTCTAGTTTGCCGCCAAATGTGGGCCACAGACCGGCCAGTATGCGGAACAGTGAGCTCTTTCCGCAACCGTTGGGTCCGGTGATCAACAAATGCATGTCTGTTGTCATCTGTGATGTCAATGACATTACAATTGGTATTAATTATTGAATACATTTGTAGTCAAAAGTATTGATATGATAAGGAAAAACAAGTGATTATGTAATACCGTAAACGATAGACTGGGAACGACTATATCACAATTTGGAGTAATAATAGGCACGTCCTCTAAGCGTATATAACCACACACTTCAGTCACTTGACCTAAAAATGAGATAAATTTTTATTAATAAATATTTATTAATCATTTGAAACAGAATTCTGATGTGAATATAATAATAGTCTTGAAATAAATATAACAAATCAGTAAAAATGATTGAATGCAACTGAATGTTGAGAGAGAGAGAGAGAGAGAGAGAGAGACAACAAACCTTTAATATCAGGCATTCCATCGCTGAACGAAAGTAACGATTGATTAGATTTCTTGAGTTTGTTTGAAGACTTAGCGACCGTTCGTTTGAACTTTCCTTCGCTGACCTCTTCAAAGACGGTCAACATCTTCGCCACACGACCCGTATATCCGGCCAACTCTGTCACCTACACCACGAGCACAGAGAGAGACACACAAACACACGACCATTAATCAGTGGATTAGGAGATGACAAATGGATTTTAAATAAATAAACGACAAGACATTCAAATGTAAAAAACAATTCCTGAATAGATATCAAACATAACTCTTAATACAAAACTTTAAGATTTATTAAACCATCAATTTCTGAACTAAACACTAGAAAAGTTAAACTTTTGGACAAAAACTATGAAAAACGATTCAAACTTTCAAAACATATGGTTTAAACAAAAACAATATTTACCTCTTTATAGGACGACAACAGTCTCTCGAGAGCATCGGCGCCGGCAATCAGTATATTCTTAGCGGTCGTCATATACTGCGTCCGTTCGCTGACATCATCTATAGGCTGGTCGCTATCATCGGACGCCACCATTTTGGACACATTCATGCCGGTCATCACCGGCACGGCAATGATCACCATTCCCGTGGCGCTCCACACGTACTTCATGAGGAACTGCTCGAGCATTATATACCACAAGCGCTTATTGAAGATGACATTCATCTGTCGCGCCAACTCTTTGTACGCTCTCTGGAGTATATTCATCTCGATTTGGTGGCCGCCATAGAAAGCGATCTCTTCGGCGTTGGCTATGACTCGCGAGTGAATGAATCTCAAGTACCCCTTACGGCGGGCCTCCTCGGCCACCAGTTTGCCAAACTTGGGCGACGCCCACCGCAACATGCCGTGCGTGAACAGCACGACCACCGACGCCATCATAGGGCCCGGCATGCCCTGAGCGCCCATATTGTGGGCCATACGGAACAGCGTGAACGATATGACACAGATGTCCAGCAAGGGCTTCGTCACGTGCGAGTACAGGTGCGCGCAGTGTTGCGAGAATGAGGTGATGTCGTCGGTGAGCGAGTGGTCGGCGTTCTCGAGGCGGCCGTCCAGGTTGGACACCGCGTAATAGGTCTCGTTCTTGAAGTACAGCTCGTAGGCGTACCGCACGAGTCGGGTGCGGAACGCCAGCGACAACTGGCTCTCCAGGAAACGGATCAACGAGTTGACGAAAGTGGCCGGAAGTGCCACCAGAAGCCACTTCGAGAGCATCCAACCGAAGTTGACGACATCCCGGCGCACGATGTACTTCACTACGTGGCCCTCCAGGTTGGCCACGTATATGGACAGGAAGGTGCGCGACACGAGCGACACGGTATGGAGTATGAGAAGGGACACCTCCACGGTGCGCAAGCCGGGCACCATTATGCGGATCAGTTTAATGAGTTGCACAATGAATGTCACGTTAATGCCGGTTATGGTCTGAAACTTATACAACATTCTGATCGCAAACTCCTCGAATTGGCCGAAGAAGTTGTCCCGATTTGGGCCGAAGTTGGAGTACGAGTCCTTCTTCTTGTGACCCCTCGCGGCGCCGGACGACGACTGCCGGCGCAGACCCGACACCAACACGTCCGGAGGGGGCGCGTCGCCCGCCGATGGCTGCTTCTCGGGACTGGTGGTCGAGATCTTGTCCTGCGCTGACCTCACCTGCGATGACACGTTTGAAATGGCATTCTTCACGTATGGGTAACCGATGCGCGCGAAGTAGGCCGCGAAGATGGCGTAGGATATGCCGCGCGTTAGGTAGTGGTTGGGAACGCCCACCGACTCAGACATCTGCCGCATCTTCGACATAACGACCGTCATCTTGAGTGCGACCAACGGATCAGATGTGTGTCCACCAGAAAGCGAGCGTTCAATGGATCGATGGCTCGTTTGTCACCAAAAGCCGGCTTTTGATGCAATGGTTTGTATGACTCGTTTGACTCCGCAATCAAACCATTCATTCAAACCAATTACGAGATAATAATCATTGAATGGCAACGAATTGGTGACACAATTGAGTGGCGAAGACAATGGTATCTGCGGATCGGTGTCACCGCCAATGAAGTGGTGGCCGATATATGGGAGGCGATGGCAGTGGTGTCCCTCACGAGTAGTGGTGTTACGTGTGTTTGAATGACTGCCTGAATGGGTATTACTTGCGATGTCTGGTAATGAGTGTAACCGTGATATCGATGACAACAATGTGTTCACAGATATAGTAATCAAATGGCAATCAAATGGTTAACTCATATGTAGTTCACTGCACACAACACACACTCACACACAGTGTCTATCAATACAAACATAAACCATATTATCATTGATAACACACTTTAGCACACATTTACAGTCTATAGCGGACTCTGCATTCACTACTCGTATGCAGAGCACAGGCGTTGGTTCGCTATCCTATCAATACATATGAGATATGAGCGCACAATATAACAGTAAAGTATTGGACAGTTGCCTGTATTAGCGATAATACCTTTTCCACTCGTATTTACAGATTTGATTTGACACACAATCACACCATACAGACTGACTGGTGGCACACAAATAGACGCTATTTTTTCTCATTAAACTATAAGTTAATTGACTTCAAAACTCTCCGTTAATTATAAGGTTTTTGAACTCAATGTTTGTTACCAAATAAGTATCACTGAAATACTAGTGCCAAGGCTATGGCTTACCACCACTATGGATATATACCTGTGCCAAAATTATATAATACAGTTATGAGCCCCGTTAGCTAATACACATACACTGAGAGTTTAGTTTTTAAAAAGTTGTTCCCATCGCACAGTTATGTAAAAAACTTATTTTTACTATAAGATAAACTGAATCACAGTTTTCTAGTAGTATTTGTTGAGTGAAAAAAGCTGTTCCGCCGCAGGGCTTAAGGAGTTTAGCATTTTATTTCGCCGTATAGTCTATGGCTTAAGACTTTTTTAAAAGGCGAAAATAGCGGACAATCGACACGACTTTTTGTTTTTCTCAAAATATATACTGAAACTTGTTATCAGAATATGTTTAGAGGACTGATAGTGCGATAGGAATACCTGTCAATACAAGAGATGTTTGCCTAAAGGTATTCGAGGAGTACTTTCTTTAAAGAGATGATGCTTTCAATGCGAAATAGTCTAAAACTTTTTTAAATCAAATTATTATCAGAAAAATGGTGTAAAATTTAATTTTATAAGTTTTGGGACACAAATTTTTATTGAATAATAACCTCTAAATATTGTTGGAAACAGAATGTGCTGTAAATTATATCTAATCAATATTGAATATCAATAAATTTCATATTTATTTGATTTACATTTGAATGATTCATTGCTTCATAGTATAAACATCTGAAAATCCAATAAAAATTGTTTGATTTTTAACATTTAGTTTTTAAACTTTTTTCAACATTGTTTGCCATGTAATACAAAACTGAAATTACTGTAAATTTATTAAAGAATTTCATTTCTAAATTGGAAACAAATATTTAATTTCAATAACTATTACACTGAATTAAAATTTAGCATTAATTGACTGAATATTGAAATTCAACACAAATATTTTGTTTAAAAATCAATATAAATTGTAATAATGAAAATAGTATTGATTTTCCAAAAAAGATATTTTTAGGATATATTTTGTTGTCTTTTAGATCATCAAATTGTGTATCACTCGCGACACCACTTAACAACATTTGACTCAATGATCAGAACAGCTGTTGATGGTCTTCATGAGCACTACTCCCATAAGCGATACCAACCATTTGGTGACATTATCTGTGCGCCAATTCTTCTGGTAATTGTCTTATACATCGCATCGATCGGTCCCATCGCTACACCAATCGCTTTATTGATTGGTTTGCCGGCACTTATATGCGGCGCTCGACTCTACTATAACTCCACCAATCGATTGAGACAAACTTGGTAATTGTCTTATACATCGCATCGATCGGTCCCATCGCTACACCAATCGCTTTATTGATTGGTTTGCCGGCACTTATATGCGGCGCTCGACTCTACTATAACTCCACCAATCGATTGAGACAAACGAAAGTAAGCACTCATTCCTCCGATAATGGTCTCTAAATATCTCAATAATAATTGCATTCAATTGTAATCACAGTTCTTCCTCTCATGGAGTATCTCATCGTTGGTTATCTTAATGTGAGATAACTTTTGAATACTTTTAAATTACATTATAAATTAACTTTAAATCATGCATTCAATAGACTTGTGTTCGAACTGGAAGTGGTTCCGTATCTCGAGATACTTATCGCCGAAAACTTTGTCTTAATAGCGTTGACCGCTTTGTCTGTGATTCTGGTGATGTTCATCAGGAAGAATGAGTTGGAACTGCAGACGCAGACACAGAATTACGACCAAATGATTTACAACCACTGGATTCGGTCGGCCGTCAGTCACAGGTTTTACACGGTTTACGTATTGAGTCAAGTGTTGGCCTCAATAGCACTCATATATGGATCTCAACTGACATTAACCACGATATGTCACTCGCGGCTACTGTTGTGGACGGTTCTGATTCCTGAAGACTGTTCCGATGTCTACTTCGATGGCGAGTGAGTATCGATTAATGCACGATAAATGCATTTATTTTTCAAATGCTTTGAAACTAACGATGATTTTGAATGCTTTTTTGAAGCATTAAACTGTGTTTCGTGTCCGCCATCTACTCACTCCTGATTGCGGTGTGTATTGTGTTTTGTCTCCTCAAACGACTGGCCCTCTCGTTATTTAAGAGACAAAACACCGTTAAATACATTAAACTTAATAACTATTCAAATGGCGGTTACATCAGTTAAATCGGTGTTCATGTTATGGATGTATGTTTTTATTGTCATTTTATTTATTGAAATATCCGTTTTGTTTTTTATGTTAAACCAAAATATAATTATTTTTAATACTGTACTGATGTAAGCGATTAATATAAAATAAAGTTGCATTTATTGTTCCCAAATGATCCGGATGTTTTCAATTCACTCACTTTCTCCTCCTCCCATTCAATTCACTCTCATTTCCCTATAATTTTAAATAATGAAAAAAGTTTCCAAACTTTGAGTATAAGTTTGGGGATCGACTCACTGAGTGTCAAACCTTGACATACCTTTCCATTACATGACTACAGTGTGTGGGTGTATCACCTCTGCGGTAAGAGTTTAAGTATATTTCCAAGAGTTTAACGCCTCTTCCCCTCAATCATCGATAGATTTGATTAAAGTTTTTTTGTGAACTATTTATACGTAATGTGTGAATGACTCATATTATTGTTTATATACTGCGCAAACATACGATGCAATAGTTTCCCCAAACTCTTACATTCCCTCCCATTGGCAACAACGAGAATATTCATATTTATTATACAAACTTTGTTCAATACATATAAATTGATACAACAATTTAATTAACCCCCCGGATAATTGGTTAAAGCCAAATTACATGAGACAAGTCCACTTAAATCTGAATAAAACTTTCCCAAATAGTTGGGAACATGACAGCGAGCGTAGTGTTACCTATCGGACGCTCAACGCTTGTATAGTACGCCATATCTATGGTCTGAGTGTTGTTTGCATTTGAACAGTGAGTGTAACATTGACTGCACTTATTGTAAGGCTTTTGTGTGAATGACTGGATTTGTGGGCAGTTTTACAATCATATGACACATCACTTATCCATTGATCTTACGGTTACAGACACCACAACACTATCACCACTACTAACCACCACATCCTCCCACACGTAATACTGTCAACCGATTACCAATCGACTCGTCCAACACATCCACAGACAGACAGACATCACTACTAATGGCGTCGCGAAAGAAAGTGCTGTTAAAAGTGATCATTTTGGGCGATAGTGGGTATGTGTGCTGCTGATGATGGCTAACCATTTGTCCCACAGATATACTGATTGTTGATATGTCTATGTCTTACAGCGTCGGCAAGACATCACTGATGAACCAATAGCACTTGGTGTTCAAGAGGTTGGTTATGTTCCGCTGGTAGCCACGCCTGAAAGAGTGGTTTCTCCACCAGCAGCTGCTGTCTGAGCAGTGTTACGTCCAGTCGGAGTGGTGGTGAAGGGAGGGTGAGTCCCACCCATACCACTGACCCACTGATCCTCTCACCACTTGTCCACACAATTGGTGTGATTGTTGTCTTTGTCTTAAACCAAAAACATATGATATTTAGTGTGAATTGAGTCATGAAATGACATAACAGTAAGAAATAGCTATGAATTGCATTGACATCTGATTTCAATGTCAACACTCCTGTAGTCCATCACTGGGTGTCATATCAGCCGTCGATTACAATCACTGATCCATTCAATTGGCTTTTCATTTGTTACACCGATTCGCGAGATATTTGATTGAAAGCCAAATATTTGAGGCGATTTTTTAGCCTTTAATTCTCTTTAAACCGAGTTTTGAATTAATTATTTGCACCAAAACTCTGAGACTATATTAACGCCAAAAACCTATGAGTTATTTATAATTTTGTCTGCCTTTTAATGCGTCTCTCATTTGTTTCCTCGTTTTCATCACTTAATTGGTTCACAAATGCATTGATTTTTTTAGTTGTTATTGTATTTTATTTTATTTATAAAACACTTTTACTGCGATTAGTATTTAATTATTTACGCCAATATTATTTATAACTCATTTATGAGTAATGTATGCATAAAACTATAGTAATGGCAGATATCTCTCATTGATTTTATCGTTAAATGTATCCAAAACGTTATTTTAATAGTCACTAAAACGCTATGATTTGATGCCATTTGTGTCCCAACTCTTTATCTAATCTCAAAAAATTAGTCTTTTCTATAATTACTCGCAACTCATATGAAATGAAAACATATGACTTCATTGAACTGATTGTCTCACTGTTTATTATTTGTTGATTACTTGTATTACACATAACTTACAATGTATTGCATTTGATGACAACTGTTTGGCCGCAGATATGGGATACCGCAGGCCAGGAGCGGTTCCAGTCGCTGGGCGTCGCCTTCTATAGGGGCGCCGACTGTTGCGTATTGGTCTTTGACGTGACGGCGCCCAACACTTTCAAGTCGTTGGACTCCTGGAGAGACGAGTTTAAAGAAAGTACTCCTCGAATACCTTTAGGCAAACATCTCTTGTATTGACAGGTATTCCTATCGCACTATCAGTCCTCTAAACATATTCTGATAACAAGTTTCAGTATATATTTTGAGAAAAACAAAATTTGTGTCCTTTTTTATCGATCAGTTGGAAACACCAGCGCATAATACACAGTGAAAGTCGAGACACAAAACTCATATTTAACTAAAAAAGTTTGTTTTGTATGAAATATTATAATAAATTATAATAAACTCATGAATTCAATCACTTGTTTCGCAAAACTAAACAAATTGTCCAAAAGTGTACAAAGCTTTTCGCTATACAGCTATCAAAGGCACTATAAATTGTAAACCGCAAGCGATTCGCTCAACACTTTTATCCTTGAATTCATTTGAGACATATTTTTGATTATTTTATTGCATTTTCAAACCAGTAGTCCGTTGGCATACCAGTGCAGAGCCATGTCCTCAAACTTTCTCGTCGACGACAGTAAATACGATTTTCTCAAACGACTCGGCATTAAGCGTAAGAACCTCGGAGTCTATCACCACGAGTGGAGTGGAAACGGACCGGTATGTTAATTATAGGTACGACTATATTATTGTATAACTCATTCAATTTGTGTATTTAATCGACAGGTCATTCAATCGGTATGTCCGGCCAATAACCGGGTGATCGCTGAGGTATTAACGGGTGATCTACAAGACTATGAGACTACTGTCAAAGCGGCGCAATCGGCGTGGAAAATATGGGCCGGTATGGCATTGGAGGGTAGTATTAATTTCGCGATTAACTTTCATGATAAACATTTTGCCAGACATACCGGCGCCACAGAGGGGCGAAATAGTGAGACAAATAGGAAACGGGTTGCGAGAGAGGAAAGCCGATTTGGGACGACTGGTGTCACTGGAAATGGGAAAGATATTGAGCGAAGGGGAGGGCGAGGTTCAGGAGTACATCGATATCTGCGACTACGCAGTCGGTCTGTCCCGTATGCTCGACGGAAAGGTGTTGCCGTCGGAAAGGCCGGGACACGTGCTGATGGAGAACTGGAACCCCTTGGGCTGCGTCGGTATCATCACTGCCTTCAACTTCCCGGTGGCCGTCTTCGGCTGGAATAACGCGTTGGCGTTGGTCTGCGGGGATACTATGGTGTGGAAGTCGGCGCCCACGACACCCCTCTGCAGTATAGCCGTCACGAAGATCGTGTCCGACATATTTGAGGCCAACTCACTGCCCGGTGCCATATGTTCGCTGGTGTGCGGCGGCGCCGATGTGGGCGAGTCGATGGCCAAAGACGAGAGGCTGCCCCTCGTGTCGTTCACCGGCAGCACAGGCGTCGGCCATAGGGTAGGTCTGGCCGTTCAGAGTCGGTTCGGCAAAAGTATACTCGAATTGGGAGGAAATAACGCAATCATAGTCTGCGAAGACGCCGATCTCGATATGGCTGTGAGAGCGGCCGTCTTTGCCTGCGCCGGAACTGCCGGTCAGAGGTGTACCACAACTCGACGACTCATTCTTCACGAAAAGGTAGTCCCGCAACAGAAAACATAACAAACAAATGGATGACAACTGAATTGATGTCTTCAGGTGTACGACAGAGTGATCGCTGGCCTGAAGAAGGCGTTCGCGCAGATCCGAGTGGGCGACCCATTGGACGCCAACGTACTGTACGGACCCTTACATACCAAGAGTGCGGTTGAGGCCTATCTGTCGGTCGTCGCCGAAGC